GTCCAGCCACCCGCCGGCACCGACCGTCCCACCGTCGCAGCGTACCAACGAGGACGACGCGACAGACCCCTCGACGCCCACGAAGCGCAGCACCGAATCAAACACCGCGAGGCGCTCGCCAAGCACAATGCCGCCGCCGCTGCTCACAACCGACATGTTCGTCACGGAGAATACCGAGTGGCTCCGCAGACTGAGACGCGACGAGGACGCCACATGCATCGCGGACGCGGTCGGACCGCCCGACGCCTCCAGCGACACACCGTCAAGCACCACCGCGCTCGACAGCAGGTCCACGCCGCCGCCAACGTACACCGCCGACCCGCCCGCCTGCGACGACCTCAGCACAGTGTTGCTCACACGCAGCTGCGTCTGCAACAGCGACGTCGCGTGCAGAACAAGCGGCGACGCCACCGTGTCCGTCAGCCCGCTCAGCTGCGAGTATTGCATCGGCCCCGCCGTCACAATCGTCGAGTCACGGACCGTCACGTTCGTGTGTGCCGGCAGGTTGTGCGCAAACACAAGCGAGCAGTAGCCGCCGGACAGCCCGCTCACGCTCACCTCCAGGCTCCGGTCACTCGCCGGCTCGCCGCTGTAGCCCCGCACGTAGATCTGCGCGCCGCCGTCGCACACGCAGCTCCTCAATTCGATGCGCAGCGCGCCGGGAAGCATCGCCGCAACGTCGAACACAACAGCCACGCCGTTCGTGATGGACACGCCGTCCACCAGCACCGTGTCCACGACGCGGCCAACCGTGATGGCTCTGTCCACCGTACCGCCCCGCAGTCGCAACACCACCGCATGCACCGCGGGCATACACGCAGCAGCAGCAACCACCGCCAACGCCACAAGCAGCGCCACACGCACAGCCGCAATGGCCCTGCACTGCACACAGTGCCGGCGGTGCGGACACGCGCCCACCGCAGACCACATCCACCGACCCAATCAGATACCAACGGGGCTGTCGCGGTGTGTCGCACTCGCACCGTCGACCGTTCCTCCTGCCTAGCAAATCCCTTTATACAGATGGCAAATCCAGTGAAACAATTCCGCCAGATCGCTATACCACTACTACTAATCCTACTACTGCAATTAATCCCTAAAACCTTGAAACGATAGTTGTGCTGATCAAGCAAAAGTATCTCCAACTGCACAACCAGAGAAGAAGGCAGCGGCAACAGCAAATAAACACAGCGGCACGCAGAGGCATCCGGCCACAGACAGTCCCCGCCAAAGCACAACCAGCGACAAAAAGAAGCGCAGACGCAGTCAGCCCAGTGATGTCACCGCCCTCCCACCGCCCGCGCAGCCCAACACAACCACCATGCAGAGTGGCAGGATCCCAGCAAAAAGATACATGACCATTGGCACCGCTCCTGCAACCAAATGTTTCCACCACAGAGCAGTCCTGATGCCGCGAAAAACACACAAGAACCGAGACAGACCCACGTGGCAGCGTTACAACCGGCGACCATCAAGCGCGTCCGACGATGTAATGGTGACACGGAAGAGGAGTGGAGAACTCGCCGTTCGCCGGCAGTCAAGGCGGCGTTCCTCCCTCACGTGGGTCGGCATTGCACAACAAACAGCGGCATCATAAGCGCACACGGCACACACAAGAAGGACGAATGAAGAGGTACAGTGGCGGCACTCAGACACGGGGGGACAAGGGTCCACGTCGATCGTGCGTTCTGTGCCTTCCTTCTCCCACTGGGGCGCCCCTTCACCAACGCTTTCGCTCGCTCACTCCCCCACCAACACAGCAAGGGAGCAACAGCGGGAGATGCGACACGTGCGACGAGCACGCAGCCGCAGAGCCTCACTGCTGCCGCCATAACCAAACAAGGCTGACTGCTGGGCGCAAAAAAAGGGTAAACACCTCACCAAACGCTTTAGCATCGCGTGGAAAAACCGCAACCGACACACAAGGCAAAGCACCATGAAGCACGGTGCCAAAGCCAGAGCTCCTCCAACAAATTCATCGTAAAGCAAAAGAAAAATATGCAAGTTCAAAAAAAAAAAAGACCGATGCTGGGGCAATAAATGGTCTTGGTGCGCAGCGGCCGTGGCATCGCACTCTTCCCTCATCCAACGGCACCGCACCAAAACGCACCGTGACGACAGCGTGCAATGACGACGATGGAGTAGCACGCAAAAAGCAGCATAAACGTTTCCTCCTGTAATTGCGCAAATTTATGCTCTCAGTATGTACTGCCAACAGCACAGGGAAGGACACGGAAGGGGACTGTCCTATCATCCACCCCCTGCCCACAACAGACCCTCCCCATCCTCCTCCTCGCCGCACCCTGGGTGCCGCAAAATGCCGTCAAGCAAAGCCACTTGTATGGAAGTCCCCAATGCGCGGGCGGGGCTGGCAGCCACCCATGCTCACTCCCCCGCACACATTCTCTCCTACAACCTTCCCACACACAAAAGGGCAAGGACGTGGAGAAGAGAAGCCCGCCGTACAGCGCACGCAGAAGCACCGCCATCCACGTCGCAGCGCAAAAAAGAGTCATGCGCACAGCACACCTACGGCCGCAACGAGAGGGACGGGGCGCACCCAAGGCCACGGCGCTGTCCTTTACTTCCCTCCGCCCCGACGGATTGGAAGTACGCCCACAGCGGGTTGTGGCGGGTGGCGTCCCACACCCACAGTGAGGCACAGCGCACATCATCTGCTCCCCTCCAAGTGCACTCAGCAGGCCGGGACAAGGCGTCCAGTCAATCTCCTGCCATCGCAAAGGAAAACAAAAACAATCGTCGCCGGTCGTCAGTGCCTCTAGCAAAAAAAAAATGGAGGCATTCCAACAGCACAGCCAGCAGAGAGAAACTCAAAGGGACACGGAGAAACAGAGCGGCAGTGAACACGGCACAAAAAAAAGCCGCAGACATTTACCAAAAAAAAAGAAAAAAGAAACGGAATAAAAAAATAAAACAAAGTAACAAAAAAGAAATTGGACTGTTCCACCAGCCCACACAACATCCCTCACGTTTCGTGCGGCGTCCAGCTTGTTCCTCCAATCCTCCTTTTGTGCATTCCGTGGGACGCGCAGTCGCGGAGCCGGCACTGCGTGTGGGCAACAGAAGCAAACAAGAGGGGGAGACACGTCACTCATGACAGCGTGCAGCAACCGAACATTAAAGAACAGAATAAATAAATCAAAAAGCCCGCGAGGAACGCGGCACACAATCTCCGTGAGGAGTCGCAATTCCACACTCTTCGGATCAGAAGAATGCCACAAATGCACACAGTCCCAGAGGTAGCAGCAACGCCCGGGAGACGCACACACGCGCAGTGCTGTCACCACCTAAATCATGCAGGATCAATTTCGCGTCGTTAATCAGGGCGAGGCGGTCGTCTAGGCTCATACTGCCATCGGATTCTGAGCCATTGGTTTCTGGAACGGAACTGTCATTTGTGGCGGCAGTGCGTGGACGCAATTCGTCCGTAACATTCTCAGCACTCGATTCGCTGCCCGCAAGAACACGGACAGAACGAGAGTCTGCCGGCTGTGCAATTGGAGCCTCTTCAACGTCTGCCAAGGAAGTCGTCAGCTGTGCGGCCGTCCGCAGTGTAGCTGCCGGCTGTGTGTCTTCCTGCGTTGTGGCCTCCCGCGCTGCAGCTGCCAGCTGTGCGACGTCCAGCTGCCTGACCTTCTGCTTTTTCTTCCTCCGTCCCTGTGACCTCCACCGCAGCGTGCAGTTCTTCGGCAGCCGGATGTCGAATAGGAACTGTCCCGGCGTTGAGGTTTGCTGAGGTCATCACCAAACAGCGCGTCGTTGTGCAGAAGGACATCAGCCACCGTCACATGGCTGCCCTCTTCATCTTTCTTATCGCCCGCACCAAAGAAGAAGTGTGAGATCCTGCGTGAACCAAACTTATCAGCATTACGGAGCCTAGCCACTTCCTCGGCACCCAGTTCACCATCATCCGTCTCGTACATTCTTATCCCACTAGCGTACACAAACCATTCTTCAGCGCCATTCTTTTGCACCGTCACTCGAATTGCTGTGTTTGTTCCCCAATTACCAACACCACCAGACGGCTTCACAAAAAACTCCACCTTGTGAAGTGTGAGGTTCCAATTTCCTTCACTCGTCCACGAGAGCTGAAAGAGCGCCGTGCCGTCTTTGTCGTTCAGCCTCGCACCAATCAAACTAATGGGGCTGCTGCCTGCCTCCGGCACCTCGTGGATGGCCATCGTCGCCGAAAGAGTGAACTCGTTGTTTGTAAAGCAGTACGGCACAGTCTGCCCCATGCTGACAACAGGCCACTGCGCCCCTGCTCCCTTGAGCGCCACGCCGCTCTCCGTGCTGGTCACTCCGCTCCTCACTGCGGCATTCACGCCGAGGTACTCGTCCCTCCATGCAGTCCCGTCGAACGTCCGGCACAAAAAGGCAACCAGCCCTTCAGTGGGAACTCCCAAGGCGTTGTCCAATTCTTTCCACTTCTCCGCCGCAGACTTTACCCGCTCCAGCTGCTCAGTCAGGCGCATGGCGACAAGACTGTAATGACGCGTCACCATTCCTCGTCGCGTACAGTAAAATCAGCTCATCCTCACTTTTCACAAACAGAGAACTGGCGGCAGCGTCATCTTCACGAGATATCGGCCCAACATCATCCACACGTGCATTGTCCGACACCCAAAGCTGAAGCCGACCTTCTCCACTTCCATTTTCCTTCGCGGCATACACCGGCGTGACCACGAGCATCGCCTCCCTTCCCTCAATGGTTGCGGTGGTGAATCCACTCTGGACGCCGTACCCTGTTCGACCACGCGAGTTGCCCCACACACGATTAATTGACTCAACATATGAATGCCAAGCCGCCCATTCCAAGTGGACCTGTAAACGTTTTTTTTTTTTTCTTCTCTTACCAGTCGTAGTAACTACACCTCAAATGTGCAGCTCTGGTAAGCGTACGAAGGAATTCAGCAGCAAGGATAGCCTTACTCCGCGGGCAGCCATTATAGAATGGCTCCAACATCTGCCCTTCCGGCCCGTAAAACTAAGTAACAACTACTCATCGGGTTTGAAGCGTGAACAGCAGGCACTTAGCTTCCTCTCTAGTAAGAGTACTAGACCCTGGCACCACGTTGAGGTGGCCGGCTGAGCCAGGGACCTGTAAACGTCATAGTAGCCTCCATCACAATGAGCCATCATGAAGGGTCCGTTTTACTCCCACCCCACAATGGCTGGATCCCTGCAGCCCTTACCAGGCGTCTCGAGTGAAAGCTCCCATTTCTTCTCTGACGGGATAAGACGCATAGACAGTAAAACGCGCCGTCCATCCTTCTCGTTGGCCTGCATGGGAAACATAGGCGTACCGTCATTCATCATAACACCCGAGCCTCCACCACCCAAAAACTCGGTCAATAATTAAGAATCTCCTATGGCTTGAGGCTCCACTGCATGTGTCTCATTCCATCCGATTTTCTTCTTTCCACCCTCATCAGTGAGAGTTCCCTTCACGAGTAAAGGGCTCCGCTCATTCTTACCTTGAATCTGCTGCTCTGTACGGCTGTAGTTTCCCAGGAGCATGTAGACACTGTCCTCAATTACAATTGTCGTTGGTCGCGTTATGCCGTTTCTGGTGCTGATGCCCCCAGAGCCTTCCTTTAGAGGATATGCGCCAAAGTTACTCGCACCCGCCGTCGAGATCTCCGTTGGACCAGCAAAACCACCTAAACCAAGGTACTTTGACGCAACCCCAGTAAAGCTGGCGTCGCTGCAGTTGCCTCCATCCCTGCAATCGGCCTCAGAAATAGCAAATACATGACCCTGCATCTCAACGAGGCTGGGACCACGAAGCAAGCCATATTTGCCACCAGCGTTAGAAACATCCTTCCATTTGTCAAGCTGTTCCTTTTTAATCCCCATCAACGCAACAACTGTATCCCTTACATTACCCTCCGCAGCGCGTGCACCTC